ATACATGCTAAAAATTCACAACTACTGTAGCATGTAAGATGTCAAATACAAAGTGTGCAATTCCTTACACATAGCAACAATATATTCAATAAGGAAAAACATATTCTCATGAATATAAAAGTAACAACTATGTTATCTAATGCTCAAAAGTAATCAAGTGAACATACATCAAATCCAAATCCTTGATTTAAATATATAAACAACTTTCAAAATGCAATTAAATCCATGGAGTAATAAAGTAGAATTTAATTAAACATAAATAGTTAAATTCTCTAAATTCCAAGTTAATCCAAATAACCTCAATTTAATATATATTGAAAGACATGTCATGATCATCATATATATATAACATCAAATAACAAGTTAAGTGATTAAAATACTTAAAACAAAATTAATCAAGCTAATTAATTAATTTCCTCTAGATTTTTAAACAATTCCAAATGCCCTCAATTTAATCTATATTAGAGAACATGCCAAGGCCTATTTAAATACTACATTACAACTTGATTTAATGCTTGATACAACCATGTGAATTAAACTTTCACTAAAGATAAATATTAAATAAAAGTTGTAATTCTTAATCAAATGATCCAAATTTAATATATGTTAACCAACATATCTAAGTATAATTTCCTATCATGTTACAATTCAAATCAAAATTATACATCATCATAAATTTTAAATCTTATACAAAGAAATAAAAATTACTAACTTTCTATATTTGATACAAGACATACATAGATGTTGTATAATCATGGCAAACACACAATACAACACACAAATAATCCTAAAACATTCCCTACCTCAATTGGAATGAAAATCCCAATTACCACCGAAATGAAATCGCCCCAAATTTTCGGTCCACAAAACAGATTTTTCAGCTTGATACCTTCAACTTGTAAAATTCATAAAAAATTCAATTATAACTCCAATTGAATGAATCCAAAGCCCAATGAAAGCTTAAACACTGTAATTTGATAATATCAATTTAGTTTAACAAAATATTTTACCAATTGAAACAGTTTTGACCCACAACTTTGAAACAAATTCTACCCAGAAAACACATTTTTAGCCTGTAGCTTCCAACTTTGAAAATTCATGAAAAATTCATTTGGCATCCAAATTGGGCAAACCTAATTTATTTTGGGAGTAAACATATGAGAGTGTAAAACTGAAAATTTAAGTCATGATCCAATGCCAAAAAGTTAGTGAAATAAATCATCTAAAATTATGTTTTCCAGCTACAATAAAAACATGGACAGCAGATAGTTTCGGATTTTTAAAAAAATTTAGAAATGCTCTAAAATAGTGAAAAAAATTCTGAGTAGTGTAAAACCCATGGGAGAAGTTCCAGTAAATATTTTAAGGCAATTGAAACACCACAGCTCCATATGAAAATTCATTTCCAGACCAAAAAGGAAAAGCTTTAAATTTCCAGCAACTAGCTTGCAACTCCAAAAATTCATAACTAATTCATTTTAAATCCAAATTACATGAAACCAAAACTAAATGAAAGCTAATTTAGTATGTTTTCATATTCTATATTTAATTTGAGAAGATTAATTTCAAATTAAAACAGTTTAAGGGTAAAATACAAGTCCTTCTCTTCCATGCATGTAAAACACTCAATAATGATATAAAAATACTTCAAAATAATAGATCAATACCTCACTAGAGAATTGAATCTCTAGATACCAAAACAAAACTAGGAATTAGGCTAGATTCTTCAAGGGTTTTGAAGAGGAGGATGAGGGGAACGAAAAGTATTCCAAACTTTATGGTCTAAAGTAAGTGGAAGGGCCTCAAAGATCAAGATCAATGCCTAAGGCTTCAAGCTCCATCCATGGAGGCTAGGGTTTTCTTATAAGGAAGAGAATGAAATAATGTGGTTGAGAATGAAATAATGTGGTTAAGTGTGAGTGGAGGAAATATAAATTCTCCACTCACTATGTGTTCTTACACCATGGTCAACACATACATCTATGGTCAATTGCACAAAAACCCTCCTTTAAAACCATATTCCCAAAGTGGCCCAAAGATATTTGCAAGACTAAATTGTGAACCTACACTTGTCACCAATCCATGACTCCTTCCTAGGCTTAATCCCACAACTACACTTGTCAACCATCCAAGCCAACAAGTGCACCAATCCTAGGCCAACAAGTGGGTGAATCCTCACCTTCTAAATGTTATCATCCAATGCATTAAAGTGTTTCTACACAAATGTCAACAAGTGGACCAATGAGAGTGGGACACTTGTCACACTTTTTTAAAATTAAAAAAGGTCCTTTTTGAAAATATCTTCCAATTTAATTGCAAAATGGTCCCCAAGATGAAAAATAATTACTTTATTTAATTACACTAAAACCCCACAAGTTAAGAATAATTAAACTAAAGTATGCATTAATGCCCCTTTATAAAAGAAGTAAGCAATCAACATGCTTTTCTAGAAAAGTAAAAATACCACTATCATGGAAATCAAATATCATGAATGCATGCAAAACCGGAATCAATTCCAAATACAAAAAGTGAGGTTGTGCAAGGAAAAAGGATAAACGAGAAAAAGACAAAATGTGAATAGTGTTCAGAAAAATAAAATATAGAAATGACACAATCTCCAAAGGGAGTTGTCAATTCAAGGAAAAGAGTCTCAGAAATCATTCCAGAGCACTCGAGACGACATCAAGTGATGAAAAATCGAACCCAAAAAGGAAAAGACAACGGAATAAAAAATATCCGTTAAAATCTGAGAAAAAGAAAAGGAAGAAAAATGACCGGGTCATTACAGGCACCTAGTGGTCCGTGATATTGGTGTAGTCTAGAAGGGAATGTAATTGAGTTAACTAGGCCGGATGCGACGCCTTGGAGGTGCCTTGTGGTTGTGGATAGTTAACCAACCTTCCGTTCGTAACGCCTTGGAGGTGCCTTGGGTCGAATTACACTAACGGTTTAGTTGTTGAAACGGAATTGTTTCGGAAACGGGGAGTGGCATAGGCATGACATTGTACTTCATAGTATATGTGGGAAATTTGTGATTGGATGTCATTTATACTATGCTTGTTGTTGTGATTGAGATTATGTATTCCCTATGGTATGACCCCGTCTCTTTTTATCCATTCTTTATGTGTGGGATTTACGGGGATATACGAAGTATAATGGTTGTAATTTATTTATATATGTATGTGTATGTGGTAGAAATAAAAGTTAAAAAGAAAAGAAAAGATTTTTTATTAGGTGGGACCCACATGTTGCATTTTGTGGCCTTAAAACCATTTTTGGCTTATCAATTCTCATTCTTTTTCTCTCCCTTACGCTGGAATCTCTCTCTTCCTCAAACTTTCTTTTTCTTTTCTCTTTTCTACACAAGCTTCAAATCATGATTTCTCTCTCATTTTTGAGAGATTTTTGATACCGTTTGCAGCAAATTAAAGGGTAGGTTGAGATCTACATTTTGATTGGAGCAAATCTTTGTTTGGTGCACTTTGAAATTTTGAATTTCTAGGACTTGGAGTGAAAAATTGGGGATTTTCTTCAATCTAGAGGTAGGGGTGTTCTAATCCATGACTTCTTGGATTTTTTTTATGAATTTTTCTCTTTAATTTGGCCTTAAGCATGCTTAATTTTAATTATCTTGTCCATTGCTATTGCGGTTGTATGTGCTCAAAATGACAAATGTGTTTTACATGCTAATTGGGTTATATACATGGCTATTTACATTATTGTGAAGAAACATGTCAAATTTTGGTATATTATGTGGCTTGTGAATTCTCAATTGTTATGGAAATTGATATTGTGGTTGTAAAATAATTGTTTGAAATTTTCTATCAAAATAATAATAATAATAATAATAATAATAATAAAATGATGATGATGTAGAAGAGCATGTAAAATTTTATTGTTGAATTTGGCATTCGGAAGCATGAATCATTCATGCATTTATTGGGAAAAGTAAAAAGGAAAGGTTTGTTTTGAAAATAAATGAAATTATTTTTGGGAAAAAGTTTTTGAAACAGTGTTTGTGAAAACCCGGACGCCTAGGAGGCGCCTAGTTGTCCGTGGTGTTAGTGTAGTTTAGAGAGGACTAGGGATTGAGCTAACTAGGCCGGATGCGATGCCACTACAAGAAATTTGGTGTTTTGGAACAAAACTTTTTGTCACTAAATATGGATAGTTTTTTGCAACAAAAAATTTTTTTGGCGAGGTTGTCCTTATAAGCTCGTGACAAAAAGTTTTACGCAACAAAAACTTTTGTCACAAAAATTTTAATCTTTTACAACAAAAAATTTACTTGTCACGAAAGATACAACGATTAGTAACAAATAATTTGTCTCTATTTCTTCAAAAATTTGTTGCTTAATACAACTCCATTCCAAGGACTATTGTTGGTAAAAGACATTTGTTGCTAAAAGTTTAATCTTTTGTAACAAAAAATTTACTTGTCCCTAAAGAGATGACAAATTTGTCCTTATTTCTCCACAAATTTGTTGCTTAATACAACTCCAATGATTCATTTACTTGTCCCTAAAGACATTTGTTGCAACAAAGTTAAATTGTTTCTAAAAATGTATCCATTTGCAACAAAACTAGATTGTTTCTAAAAATGTATCTATTTGCAACAAAACTAGATTGTTTCTAAAAATATATCCATTTGCAACAAAATTGAATTTGTCATTAAAAGATAAAACAATTGCAACAAAAATATGTTTGTTACCTAATATAATACAATTTGCAACAAAAATATATGTCAACTCATGTAGTGCAATTTACAACAAAACTACCTTTGTCGCAAGTGTTGATATTTAACAACAAATATTTTTATTTGCTAATTTTTTAAAATTTGTGGATAAATGTATTAAAAATCATAATTTGGTTTTTATTTTTTTTGTTCTCAATAATATTTTTCTTCCTCTCAATAAACTAATTTATAAGACATCTTTTTTTCTCACTAATACTAAATGTCAATTAAACAAATTATCAATTACAAAATATATAATCTAATATTTTACAAATGAAAAAGTAAAATACTATTTCATATATATCCAATCATCCATACATATTCCAAATATGGGATCAAGACGAGATTCATATACATAGAGAATGATTAAACCTATATCCAACAATACAGGGAGATGGGAGATCCAATAGTACAAAAGTGAATAATCAATGGGACTGTAAGAAAAACTAATACCATCGACATGTAACCTACCAATAATGGGGAGAGGGGAGATCCATAAATATAATCCCTTGAAGAACCAAAAGTACAAAAGTAAGTTTGTTTTGAGCCCAATGAAACAAAAAAATAGTCACTCAGTCTGCAACAAAAAGATGTCAAAAAGCTAATAAGCCCAGCTACATGCAATCTACCAACAATGGGAAGATGGGAGATCCATAAGTCCAATCCCATGTAAGAACCAAAAGTACAAAAGTGAGTTTATACTGAGCCCATATGAAACAAAAAATATAGTTAATGGACCTGCAACAAAAAGTCAAAAAGATAATCCCAGCCACATACAATCTGTCAAAAAAATAAAAAAATTATGATTAGTTCAAACCACTACAACAAATTTAAGTTTCTACAAGGTCTTCTCATAATTTCAAGTCCTTTTTTACACACTAAGAATGCAAAAATACAAACCCAATAACAAACCACAAGATAACAAATAATTATTAAAGAAGCACAAAAAAATATCTTAAACTATTCACATTAATACAAAAGCCAACATGTTTGGAATGATTACAAATACATTAACATGTTTGGTCTTCAACTATTGATGGACTTGCAGTAGGTGTTTCTGGGTTCGGTTCTCTTCTTCCTCTTTTTACACCTAACTTTACTCTTTAATTTAGAAAATGGGCACCTATTTTGGCATCATCTTCTTCTCTATCACCATCAACACCATCTCTCTTTCTCACGCACAGTCAATATAAATATACACACATGCTAATGGTGTACTGATGAAGATGGTGATATTTCTCTAATTTCATGTGAACACATTCCTTAATTGGCTAGCTAAAAATTAGCTCTCTGCATGTGCTCCATTGCAAATTGAGGAATATTTCTATATTTTTGGGAGGATATTAATGAATGTAAGGTTGAACTATGTACATAGCATGATAGAACCCACTAAAGAGCTGGTCCACTACACCTATTACAGAAATTGGTCCAAAGCCTCACTAATTTCTTTGTAATTACTACTATTGACTTAACAAAATTTAAAAATCTAATTTATTTGTAATTACTACTAGTGACTTGACACAATTCAAAAATACAGTTCACTGTAAAGTATTCAAGTCTTTGTAAAGGCAAAGCGAACATGGAAGTGAATTAAATCTTTTACCTTTTTTTTAAAAAAAAAAAGGACTACTAAAAAAAGAAAAAGATCATATTTTGAAAAACAAACACATCTTACAAACAACATAGCCATTTCTAGACAAATTAGACCAAGTAGAGGGAGGAAAAGATGCCCATTGAGAAGGACATACTGAAATATCGCCTAAATTGCTACTAAATGAGCTTCCTGTTTAATCAAACTAACGTGAAGATCGAGACTACTTTTTGTAATGGAATGGATGCCCATGTAGTGGCAGTTATGTTCCATTTCTGAACATAATAAAAAACAGTGAATCCGTCTCTTTAATAAGAACCAAAAGTTGGCAATCTCCTGAATGGCTAAATGAGTTTCCTTCTAGTCAACTTGTGCTTCCTAATTCTCAATTTCTTATTCTCATAGGTAGACCCTACATCCCTAAAGCTACCTACTACGTTAATTAGTTCAGAGATCAAGTACAGGCATAATTTGCAATATGGATGTCCAAGGATAACTATAAATTCCATTAATTGTATTGCTAACCCCATACCATTAGTTTCCAAAAGTTTATACCATATGTTTTTAAAAGCTCAATGTCAAGCTCACATAGCCCAAAGATAGAGCATCAAAGTTTATGAACCAACTATTTAGTAATACATTAAGACAATAAAAAAGAAAGAAGATCATCTATATTAAAGAACCAATCGCAAAGCAATGCCTTTTGCTATAGTTCAGTTCATTGTATTACATTAAAAGGGCAGCACAAGCAAAGTCTCATGCATGCTCCTTCCATAACTAACTAAAATAAACCTAACTAATCCATGATACTGTTAAAAGACTGATGTTAAACAAATCAGGCTTCTCATGCAACCCCCATCATTATTCTATTAGAAATTTCTTTCCTTTTCTTTCAAGTTTGGCTCTCTTTTTCAATTCTTTTAGAACTGTCAACAACATTGGCACTGGGGATTTTTATGAAATTCAACCAAAAGTTGTAAAAGCAATAATATACAACAAACAATTCATAGTAGTTGTTCTCAATTTTGAATCTGTACACCTACGTTTGTCACCTAGAACTTTTGCCATTGCACTAAGTAGTGGCCCCTCTATGTAGACTATATCTTCTTTCAAATTGCAAAACAAATTTGTCTTATTCACATTTTTGTTAGTGGTTCTCTTTGGCCTCTCTAATAGGTGCTATAGCTTTTTCTAAATACATTCATTTCTCATTCAGCCATGTCATTTTTTTCTCCCCCAGTGGTCTAAATCAAATTATCAGTTCAAAAGTATGCTCTAATTTATGGACAAGTTTCTTGATGGCCAACATTATTAGGCTTAGGAGACTTTAAGAAAGAGATACTGTCATGCCTCAATTTTCACTAGAGTCTAATATTTTATTTTAAGTGAACCTTCTTCTAGTCATCTATTTTGAAGACAGAACAAAAATTATCTGCAGATCCTACTTTACTTAGAATTTCTGATTGCACTTTGATTGAACCTTCTCTAAATCATGTGTCTAAGGCTTTCTGGAAGGTTAAATATTTGGCCTTAAGAGATCTCAAGTGCAGCAACTCTTTAAAAATATGGGTTTCCAATCTTTCTGGAAGGTTATGACATGTCCACTTATAATAATGAAAATGTCTTAAAACTTCCTGTTGTAACTCATTTATTATTCTTATGGCTATAACATTTAAGTTGTTAACAAGGTGAATGGCTATCTTTTCCCAAGGAAGAATATCAGGGCTGTAATAGATCTTGCATTGCAAGTGGTATCAAAGGGAAGATTATCACCTCTACCTCACAATGTTCATTGCTTGGAAAATATTCTTCTAAAAACTTAACGGTTAAAGAAACTATCGAAGTTTATGCTTCACTATTAGAAAATGTTCTCAAGTTCCCATCTGAAGTTGCAACTCCCAAGGATGTTAGCGAAACTTATGAAAGATAATTTGTATCTATATATATATATATATATATATATATATTGACAGTGAACCCTAATTTCATAAGAAAAATGATAAGGAAACATAAATTAATTATACTTACCAAATATAAATAAAAGGAATTGTGGTTTACATTCAATTATTCAAATCACTTACCCAAAAACAAAGAGGTAGGTAAAGTCAGACTCTAATTCTAAAACAATGCATGAGCGGTCAATAGGCTCAAGGATTTCCATGTGCGTAACTAGGACTATATATGTAACAAGATCACAAACACCACGCATTACATTTAATGGACACAAAAGAATATCAATGCTTGTAGTTTAGTATTTAATATTTTTGATCATTAAATGTATTTCTCCTACTAATAAAGTAAATTTATAGCTACTAGTACATAGCGCGTGTAAATGCACATGATTAAAAATATAAGAGAAGTAAAACAATACAAGTTGAACACAATGATATAGTCATTGCTTCAAGGTGTTATATTCACGTACAATGAAAAATATAGAATGAAAATAGTGTTTTACACGTAAAAATTTGCTTAATTAAGGGTAAGAGAAGTAAAACATAGTAAGTCTCAAATGTATATAATATATATTACTAAAAATTAAAATACAAGGACTCAATTGGATCTAAATATATCAATTTGAAAAGAGTTTTAGATTCTTTACTCTGGGTAATATTAAGTATTAATCAGATTCGGAGATTAGATATTCTAAATCAGATTAAAAAAGGAATAAATAAAAAGTATTTGAGGCATTACATGTTAAAAAATGTGAAACAATTGTTCATGACTACAAAATATGATAAAAATAATGTTCACAGATTTGAGGCCCATAACATATTGTCCACTAAGAGCACCAAACATTGTCATCTTATATTTCTGACCATTTTTTATTTCTGTCCACTAATTAATCATCTGCTTTATTAAACAGTGACCACATATTAGTTTCAAACAAAATTATATTTCCTTCCTTTTTCATAGAAGACAAGAAGCTTAACTAACTTTTTTTAGGTGGCATCCAGAGTAGTTAAGCTACACACAGAGAGAGTTTCTAGTCCTTGAGAAACATACTTTGTTTGAGGCTTTAAATTTTTTTTTTTTCTACTTAAGCCTATCTCTTTTAGCAGGAATCTGGCCACTGGTATAATTTCTAAAACCCTAGGAACTTCATTTCATAGATCATTATTTATCGTTAAAAGGAATGGATCACTTAAACCTACAGGCAGCTAAATGATGAGGCTAGCTAGATTTGGGAATTCTATCCAAAACCATGTCAATCATTAAATTCCACTATAATTTGCTCTAATCTTGAGCACTTAAAACTTCTAAACTCTCATTCCAGTCCCAACTCCTGCAATCTTCATCCACTATAAAAACAATATAATAAATAAAATGAAGAAAGCCAATTCATCCACTATTGATCTTTTGGCACTTTATAAATTGTAACTGATAAGGGGAAGATGAAAGAAACTAGTGTTTGCTAACTTAATGAAAGTGTAATATGTTAAATCTTGTTCATAGGACAATCTAAAGCGGATAACTATTGAAAAAATGATAGCTCAAGAGAAAACTAATTTATAAAGTGCCAAAAAAAATACTCTGTTTTCAGAATGAGAAAGCAAGTGCATTTAGTGTCGGAAACTAGGCACCACAATCTTAAAATTCATTTCTGCTACCAATCCAATTTGGAATATGACCAGTTAAGTTGTTATGGGAAAGATCTAAGACCACTAATGAGCTGCTATTGTAAAATGAACAAGTTATTAGCATTAAGTGCACACACATAACAAAAAAATATCACTCTATTTTTTTTTTGGTACTTTTGGTGCAATGCATATTAAAAATTTGCTCACTGAAGAGTGGGTAAAGTGCCTTCTTTTGGGACCTTAGGAAATGTTCTCAAATATCATAATTTTCAAACCCATTTGACCACTGCTGTTAGAGTTCAAAGTGAAAGTTCAAATTTCGCCATGTTTAGTAAAAAATATGTGTGTGTGCGCGCGCGCACGTAAAGTGATACTTCTTGATATATCAATATCACTTTAAGATATATTGGAAGGTGAATTGGGGTATTTTAAGATTTTCGTATAAATGAAATGATTACAATTAATGTTGAAAACTTTATGGATGCTCTATGATATTAGAGATATAAAAGGAATATGACATATAAATAACAATAGATTTATATATTGCCGCATAAAAACTAGCCAAGATAATGCTTATGTACGTTCACACTTAAACAATTTACTGCCTAAAGCTAAGAGAAAGAAACGGTTTATTCAACCAAAAGTTTGCCAGAATTATCAAATTAGTTTTGCTAGAGAATTATGGAAGAAATGTTTGTCAGACTGTCACACACATAAAAAGAACTCTTTATGTTTTCTTACCCCATCAGTTGCTAGAACCACAAATTCATCTGTGTCCGTAAGCTTTCTATAAGAGACTTCCGGGATTGAAATTAGGCCAAAATCTTTCAAGCAAAAATCTCTGAAAGCCCTTGCCATTGCAAGACCGGGACAATTATCATCAGGCATCCATACTCTAAACACCTCTGTTTTTTCATCCATTGCGAAAACTCTGCCTTTGCAGTCCCTAATTCTTTTCGCTTCACCTGATTAACGACACAAAAAAATAAGAAAAGGTTCATTACATTGAACATTCTGGTTTTTTTTTTTTTTTTTTTTTTTTTTTTTTTTTTTTTTTTTTTTTTTTTAAGATAGCTCAAGAGAAAAGACTCACATGGAAGATTCGGTTTCACGTCAACTGTGAGTTGGACGGAAACGAGCTGATTTTTGTTGCCTCTAGTGCAGAGGACTGCACGAGAATCCCCCAAGTTTGCAATTACCAAGTGTTTACCCTAAGCATTGAACAAACAAAATGAGGGAGGAAAAAAATAAGAACAGTCATCTCCTTGTGATCAACAATATTTCTTTAAACAATTGACTGATTAAGGCATAGAAAATCCAATTTGGGTAATTAATAAAAAAAATTACCAATTTATTTCTAAACAATTCACCACTCAGTAGTCAGTACCCTATCTCTTCTTTTGACCAATTTACTAGTCCTATTTGAGAATCTACTAGTGGAAGCAGAGTGTGAGGTAGTTCATGGCAAGCCCTTTCCAACACTATGGAATTCACTCAAAAACATGCTTTTTGTAAGTAATTTAATTTTCAAGAAGTAACTTTAGAGCTTTACCCTATATTAAGTACTTTTGCTTGTCAAAGTTCTTGTTATGATTTTTTTTTTTTTAGTTCTGTAAAGGCTTCCGTCTTCAAAAAGCTTGGCATGTTGATAAAAATTGTTTCAGATTCAATCTCTGCAGATTTCTAATCCAATTCAGATTCCCTTTTTTTTTTTTTTTTTTTTTTTTCTTCTTTTTTCATGCCCATATTCAAATTTTCTTGTAAACATAATTGACCAAAAAAAAAAAAAAAAAAGAGTTTTAGAAATAAAGAAAAAATATGTTTTCCTGAAATAAAATGTAGATTACGGTGATTACCTCAAAATGCCTACTTTATATTGTAAAAAAAAATTATAAAAAAAAAAAAATCATAAAAAATTTCACCAAATAGGATTTAGTTTGCAAGACAAGAATTACAAACCTTGATTAGTTGATTCAGAAAAAAATTTAAAACAAAACCCATACATACAAGTTAGCAATTGCAGAGAGAGGGAGGGGCAAGCTTGAGAGTTGAGAGACATCAGGGCCAGCGGCTGAAGCTTGCGAACGGCGAACCCGAACTGGAACAGCGGGCGATGGAAACAGAAAGATATGGGTTTTGATTTTTTGAACAATCTGAAATGATATGCCGAAATGGGTTTTGATATAGGTAATAGGTTTTCAAATTTTGATTCTTGTAGACAAATTTTGTAGTTTGCAGTTGCAGAGACAGAGAGAGGGCAAGTTCAAGGTCGAGAACGAGAACAGAGATGGAGGTGATTGGGGAAGGTGAAATGATTTGCCCTAAAATATGGGGAACGAGAATGTGCGCTTGTGTGTGTGGTTCTGTTTGTGTGTGTGTGTGTGTGTATGTATATATATATATATATATATTTATATATATATCGAGAGAGATTGAGAAAAAGAAATACCTGATAGAGGGTATATGGCAGAAGAGAGATTTGAACCAAGAGATTGACGGATAGAAGGATTAGGGCTTCAGTCTGACGTAGAATACAGGGAGAAAACTAGGGCACCGTTTTCCTCTTGAGAGAGAGCAGAGAGAGAGAGAGAGCAAGGCACGGATCTTATTTGTCTGGGGCTGCGAGAGAGGAGTGTTATTTCAGTAAAAATTCACCAAAAACAATACTGGGCTAATGGCACTAATATTTCCCGCCCACCAAAATTTTGGGGAGATATTCTTTTGGGCTTTAGAGAAGTACTGTCCCAAAGTTAAAATACCAACCTAGAATACCCCTCGCAAGAGTATATATATATATATATATATATATATATATATGACCCAAATTTGAATTTATTTATTTATTTTTTATTATTATTATTATTTTACGTGGTGATGTCTAGTTCTTAGAATTTTTTTTTTTCTATCAATTACCTTAGAAAATTAATTCTTATAAAATCATCTCTCATGAATCCAAAGGCAATGGATATATAATTCAATCAATCTTATTACGTACCCAATGATCAATGATGGAAAAGTTGGCCTGACTTGCTAACAGGGATGGAGCCAGAATTTCAAGTAAGGGGACACGCTACCAAAAAAAAAAACGGAGTGTATATATATATATATATATATATAAAATAACTATAAAATTCAAAAGGCAAAGAAGAAGAAAATTATTCAAATATGCATATTAAAAAAAAAAAGAAAAAAAAAAAAAGAATTTTAAGAGTAGAAATAGAAAAAGAAAAATCAAAGAATTTTAAAAGGAAAAAGTTAAAAAGTTTCAACTGAGAAAGAAAATTTTGACTTTTCTATTAAGGAAATTTAAGGAATTTGAAGAGCAAAAAAAATAATAATAATAATAAAAAAGAGATCGTTTTAAAAACCACAAAATTTAGGGGGCATTGTATAATTATATATATATATATATATGAAAAAAATTAAAAACAAATTACCACAAATATTACAGAGTGCAGGCCAACTCAGGGGACATGTGCCCCCAGGCCTTCATTGGCTACATTCATGTTTGCTAATAGATTGATCAATTAGGGATAATTACTTTATTCAATGATCGATAATGGAGAAGTTGGCATAACTTGCTATAAAATTGGAATTAATTGAAATATAGTTTAATTATGAGATATTACTCATAAATGTATTTATAAAGACGGTCACATTAAATTTTTTTAAATTATTAATTATATAATTTATTTAATTAATATATAATTTATGTTTTAACTTAGGCCATTATGTGAAAAATAAGAAAAACAAAATTCAAAATAAATCTTAAGCAAAAACATTTTGTTAGAAAAGTTATAATATTTAAATTTCATTCAAAAAATTATTTTTTTAGTTTAGGACATTAAATTCCATGGCCCAAGTAGTTTTGTTTTTTAAATACAGATTCTTCAATAATACTTTGTTCAGTAAGAAAGAAAAAAAAAATTGGCATATGCAGTTTACTTGAACAACAGGCGATCGGCGATAGAAATAAAGTTGCAGAGACTAGAGACAATTTGATATAGTGATATGCGGCGTATATGCTGATATGGGTTTTGAACTTTTGATTATCGCATTTGCAGAGACTAGAGAGAGATAAGCACGTTTGATTTGTAACTTTGAAAACAGTTCTCAAGACCGGACTCAAACTCACACTATACTCTATGTATGCAAGTATGTAATAAGAGAGAATTAAGGAGGAAGAGGAAAATTTAGAAGAACAGAAGTATTCTGAATTTCTATCTCTTAGGATGTAACGGCCTTTCTTTCTTTGATAGCAACATTGCAAACCGAATAAATGGACGAACCGGCTTAATGTAGTACTCTCTCCTATAGACCGAACTCAAACTCACACTATGCTTTATGTATGCAAGCTAGTATGCAAGAAGATAGAATTAAGGAGGAGGAAAATTTAGAAGAAAAGAAGTTTTCTGAATTTTTGTGTGTTTTGCAAATGATCCTAATTGAGGTATTTATAGGCACGACTCACCAACACGACTCGAGTTAAGCGGGTTTGTGTTGCCTCAAACGGATTTGGGTCTTAAACGGGTTGACATGATTAACCCGTTTAGTTAATCGTGTCGTATTTGGATTAAGGGATTCAACCTGTATAACCCGTTTATACTTGCTTAACTATACGTGTCATAAACAAACTTTTATTTAAGCTCCAAAATAACTATCTAAACTTATATCTAATAATTTATTATTTTGTAAATTAAAAATTATTTAGTAATTTGATTGGATTGAAACCTATATTTTTCTAGTATTTATTATTTGATTGAGTATTATTAATTATTTAAATAATATAATGTTTGTTTTATTAAATAGGTCATTAACTGGGTTACACGTGTAACCCGTTTAATAAACAGGTCGGGTCAATGTTGATCAGGGTTTCTGACACGATTATTAAATGTGTTGTATTCGAGTTGAGTTGTTTAGTAAAATACCATTAGATCGACACGATACGACACGATTATGACCCGCGAACACGAATTGTCACCCCTAAGTGCAACCCTTTGATGCACTGGTTCAAACCATGGTTTAGAACAGGAATGGAGATTGGAGGCAATTGGCAAGGTTAAATGATATGCCCTAATTTTTTTTTTTTTTTTTTTTATGGCCCATAATACATGGGCCTATCAATTTTGAGGCCCTATAAATTTTGTTTGTAACTTTGCATTGGTTTGCTGGGCTGGGGTGGGCTAAATGGCTGATAGGAAATAGTAGTACTAATTTTTTTTTTTTAGACCTTTGCTATATAGCTTGGGTTAGCCCATGAATAGTTTCGCCCATGAGCATAAGTAATAAGTTTTTAGCAATTATAGTAATTAGCAAGAAATAGATTATTTGTGACAAATTATTTGTCACTAAAGTTAGTTTTTTTGACACAAAAAATAATTTTGTTGTCAAAAGATTCACAATTTGAGACAAAATAAAGATTTGTCACAAAAGAGTTACTAATTGGCGACAAAATCGAGAATTTGATGCAAAAAATTAACTTTTTGGGACAAAAACTTTGTCTTTAAAAATGTATTTTTTTGGCAAGAAAACATTTGTCACTAAATGTTAAGTCTTTTGAAACAAATAATATTTTTGTTGACAAAAGATTGGCAATTTGAGGCAAAAAGGAGGTTTGTCGCAAAAAATTAACTTTTTGGGACAAAAACTTTTGTCTCTAAAAATGTATTTTTTGCAACAAAAAATTTGTCACAAAATGTTAAGTCTTTTGAAACAAATAATATTTTTGTTGACAAAAGATTCACAATTTGAGACAAAAAAGAGGTTTGTTGCAAAAAATTAATTTTTTGGGACAAAAACTTTTGTCTCTAAAAATGTATTTTTTGGCAACAAACTATTTGTCACTAAATGTTAAGTCTTTTGGAACAAATATTTTTTTTTGTTGACAAAGATTCACAATTTGAGACAAAAAAAGAAATTTGTTGCAAAAAATTAACTTTTTCCAACAAAACCTTTTGTCTCAAAAAAAACATTTTTTCCCAACAAATTAATTTGTCACTAAATGTATAATTTTTTGGCACAAATAATATTTTGTTGGCAAAAGATTCACAATTTGAGACAAAATTAATATTTGTCGCAAAAAAATTAACAATTGGCGACAAAATCTAGAATTTGTCTCCTATAATAGCCTTTTTGGCAACGAACTCGTAATTTGTTGCAAAACATTACACATTAGGCAACAAATTTACATGTTTGTCATAACAAAATACATATTAGGCAACAAAATTTGAATTTGTCACAAATTGCAGCCTTTTGCAACAAATTTAATTTTCTTGCTAAAAAATTTGTCCCTAATACCCATATCTGTTGTAGTGTGCCTTGGAGGTGCCTTGTGGTCGTGGATAGTTAGCCAATATCCCTTTCGTGATGCTTTGGAGGTGCCTTGGGTCGAATTACACTAACGGTTTGGAAATTGAAATGGAAATGTTTCGAAAATCGGGAGCGACATAGGCACGGCATTGCACTTCATTGGCATATATGATGTATTTGTGACTTGAATGATTCTCTTGATTTATATTCTATATGTGGATTCACAGGGTCATAAGATCTGTGTCTTAGATACCTCTTACTGTGCTTATGCTCACCCCATTATTTTAACATTTTTCAGGTTTGGGAAAGGAAGTGGCGGACGGCATTCCTACACAAGTTTTGATGGGTTAGTGGACTCTTTGACCTATTTTGTAGCTATGATCTCATTATTATTATTATTATTATTATTATTATTATTATTATTTTTTTTTTTTTAAAACCCTAGTATGACTCGTATATTTTTATATTAACGTAAGAAAGGACAGTAGCGTCCTTAGTTGACCTCGGATTCGGATAAGGACCGGGTTAGTGATTCGGACCCTCGGGTTCGGGTCGTTACAAGAAGTGTGTCTTAAACACTTCCTACTGAGCTTATACTCACCCCACTATTTTTTAAATATTTTTTAGGATACGGAAAAGAGGTGGCGAACAATGATCCATCACAAGTTTAGACGAGATTGGAGGCCTATTTTATTTTGCTATCTTTTGTATTAGAACTCTAATATTTTGTAAATGTAATCTTAACTATTTTGTAAAATTTTAATATAATTGGTGTAATGCTTTAAGTTATGGATTTTAAAATTTTAACTATATTTTATGGACTGTAACTTGATGTAACTAAAGTGTGTTCCTTGTTTGGATGAGATGGAGGAACAAGATTTTTTATATGTATGTAATCATTTTGGGAATGTGATATAATATTTGTATTGTGCGTTGGGATATGATAGATTAGTTTTAAGGCCAGTGAAGCCATTAAATTTTTTTTTCAAACAGGTTGTAAAGGAACTTTTTCTGCGGAAGTTATGTCAAAATTTTATATAATTTATTATTATTATTTTGGGTTTTTTTTTTTGGGTCGTTACAAAGGCAAGGAAGGAATGGGATGGAAATTACTATTCAAAGACCATTGGAAGTCTAGCAGAGTAGATACCAACGTTGTGTGGCAAGTTGGAGGAAAAAAATAAAAAAAAAAACTGGATTTCATATTTACAAGGTTCATATTGAGTTTACAAATACTATTGCTCTATGGATTGAAATTCTTCTATTACAATTTTCACCCTTTTCTTATCGTATTCTAATGGGGCATAATTCGGATTCAGAAGGTTCTCGACCCACCCTTGAACTTACTGCAGGACTGCTACAAACTGAAGTGGTGGGATTGTCCAGAAAACCAGCTTCTGGTTGCTGTTCTTGCAACACCAAGACCGAAAACTGGAAATCTGAAGTGGCTAGCATGTCACCAACGACCCCAAGTTCAGGGCACTGGCTCCATTCCGTTAGACCTAATAAAAGTGGAGAATCAGGTTCATGATGTCTACCTACTATGAACAAATCAAAAGCATCCTCCATAGAACCAATCACACGCGTTGACCCCACTCCATCGTCCACTCTTTCTTCTCTATAGACAATCCTCCCATTGCCCTTGGCATTGCTCCTGAATTCGTCAATCAACTCGCTGTCAAGGTTGTCCTCCATTACATTACCAAACAGTTCCTGTTCTTCCCGATCCCATTGTTTAATCCAAACCACCGTGAGGGTGATTTGTGGATGGTCTGCCATACGGCTGCTATATGCAAGTGCTGCTCTGTCGTCTGCACCACCAAGGAAGAGCAAGGCAACGCGGAACAAGGACTGTCCTGTTAGAACAGACCAGTTGCCACTCATTTGGCCTCGGTCTACTAGGACCCCAACCGAGCAAGGGGATTTTTTTATAACATTTTTATTTACTGTCCTAATGGCAGGGAAGGTAGCTCCAACTGTTCCATCAATAGTCCACTGCTTGTGAAAGGGGACAATTACAAGGGTTGCAATTTTGTCCAGTGCAAGCATGCATATGTCGTCGTGCATGCTTGCATATGGTGCAACTGCTGTGAAGTGTTGTGCCATGACGCGCCCTTGATTATTCTCCACAAAGTAATTGAAAGCGTTAACTATATGATCAGACCGGCTTGGTGCAGAAGAGAATTTTACTCTCTTGAAATTTGGCACGAGTATGGATGCAGACCTCCCGGTGAGCTCCATGAGATTCAAGACGAAGACGGTAATGGGGCGATGCAATGTGGGATGTGAGGCTTCAAGGAGGTTTATAATGGTGGGGACATTGTCTTCATTGTGGATGCATACAAGTATCCGGAGCTCCATGTTCTGATTATAGGATTGTAGGATAGTGCTTCTCGTCTGATCCATGTACCTTCTTGATGGGTCATAGAGGTAACTTATAAGGGGTGTGGCAACTCCCGTTACAATTAACATCGACATTATCAGAAGATTATAAGCTTGGTTGCTAAATATCTGCACATTACCAAAGAACCACGAAAATTACGATTAAATCATAAACATAATATATATGAGATTAGTCAAAGTATTTCAACCTATACAAAGAGAGAGAAGCAAGAGCGTTTAAATATTTACCCCATTTAGCCTCCACATGTTATATAAAGCAGCCTCGACGACGCCTTTGCAGCACATGATCAAAGCAAGACATATGGCATCCCAAAGGGGCACCTTGCAGTAACAAGCCGAAAGAAGGGTGCCTGTGAACTTCCCAATGTAGCCCAAAACAATTATGAGCAGAAGTATAACCCCGGTACCGAAATTAGTGCTTTTGGTAAACAAGTTCACCCTCAAGCCACTAATTGTCATCTTCACAGGAAGCCACAATCCTGTAGACATTGCATCAAGCTTGTTTACCAAAGATGACCCTAGTGGTGGACCATCTGGTAAAGCCAATCCGAACATAAAAGTTCCAAGGGTACTCTGACCCACAATCTCAGAGAAATAAGCACACCCCAAAAGCATCACAACAATGGCTAGGAAGTTGCCCTCCTTCATGGATCCCCCTTCGTGCGTCTGCTTTGCTAACCATATTGCCAGCGGTCGGAGGACCAACACAATGGTCATAAGGAACATGGCAAGCCAGAAGATGGACCACATTGTGGTCCAGTGTGAGTTGCGCATAGATATACTGATTGTGGTCATAATAATGGACATGGAATAGCTCCACAAGTCGCACACCATGCAAGTTAATGTGGCTAAGCGACCTAGCTCTGAGTTGAGAATCTTCAGATCAGCAAGGAGGCTGGTGATAACAGGAAACGAGGACATGGAGTTCACAACTGCTATGAAGTGAAGGTATTTCTTTATTTGATCTTCTATAGTGAATATACGAAGTGAGATGAATGCTGCGGAGACTCCTAATACTAGAGGCAGCATGAAAGATGTGGTGCCTATCAGTGCAGCACTCTTCCCTGCCCTCGCCAACATGGTTGTGTCGATCTTTACTCCTAATATAAAAAGGTGAAGCATGTAGGCAAAGTCTGCTACTGTTTCGAGTATCAATTTGCCTCCCGGAGGAAACAACTTTAGCATGTACTCTCTATTACGCGCTAGAAGTGTTGGCCCCATTATAATACCAGCCTGGTTAAGAGAAATGATCACATTAAAACAATCAAAACTTGAAAAAAATAAATGAAATACAAATTAGGTACCATGTTCTATTTAGGTGCCCTGATTATCCTTCCATTCAAATGTCAAATGTAATCGTCTCAGCCAAATGCTAATAACCTTTTGTGTTTGAATTAGTACTTTTATATCGAAAATGAGTAAATTTGGTTCATATATTCTCATTCTTGTACTTTATTTTCCAGATTTCATTGAAGCCCTTAGTCGCGATATTGTAAAGGATCGAGTTTGTCACAATATTTGGTAATCTTCACATTGTATTTCATTGATTGTCTGCATAATGTGTGCATATCAACCTAGTGACGTTTGCGTGCCAATATGAACACTCGTGCTCTAACAATTGTGTTTCTTTCTTTGCTAATTCATGTTCTTCTCTATTATTCAAATTAAATTCATGACATGATAAACTACACAATAAGCATTAACTAAATAGCCATTACCATAAATCCTTTCAGAGCTCGCTATTCAAATTCAAAAATGCTGAGTTTAAGTTTAAGGACAAATTACTATTTTGACATAAAAGCTGAAGGGATAAATCAATTATACACAAACTAACCATCTAGCACCTCGGATTGACAAAAGTCACACCGGGTAAAACAAACACTTTATTGTTTCCTACATAGTATGATCTCTTCTTTCCAAAAAGGGGAGGTTGGGCGTTTAAACCCTTCTAGGGGGCAATATTGTGAGTATATGTGCATCTGTATGAACTTTTGAAATATATATATATTAAAAAATAAAAATAACACTTGCTAAGCAACATGGAAAAAAGTGGTAGATATAAATTAAAAATGTAGTGGAAGCCAGATAGAAGAGGCTTACAATAATTTGTGCACTGAAGAGACTTTGTTTAAGAGGTCTGAGGATGAATTGTGTGGTTCTTGTGAAAAAGAAAATGACAGCAAACTGGGCCAATAAAGTAGGCATGCTGTAGCTGAAACAATCATCATCAAACCATATACAACCCTTGGAGTTGGTGAGATGGATATATTGGCACACCATGATTTCGTCGTGGTTTTGTCCCGGAGTACCCGGAATTTTTCCAATTGCAGCTGTACCTCCATGTAATTCTGCCATGTCTATGGCGCATATAGAAGCTCAGGAGAGCCCAATGAATATTTGAAGGAAAACAAGGAGGAGATTGTACAGTTTTTTGAAAAATGAATCAGTGAAAGAGAGAGGAAAAAAAAGAGGAAAGAGAAGGAAAAGAGAGAGAAAGGGTATAATCAAAACATACAGAGGAGCGAGAGGGTAAGCGAGAGAATGGGAAGTTTGTTGGTCATGTCTCATATTGTTGGTACATTAGTAGCTTCAAATACAAATGGTTGAAGAACATTGTACTTGGCCTTGCAATGAGGAAAGCTTCCATGTTGGCACATTGCTCGGATTAGGCTCCTCTCTCACTCAATCTTTATATGAATGAGGAATGATTACATTATACATCGTTAAATATGATGATATCGTCGTGACATCAATTAAACGAATGTATCTAACTCTGTATCGTCACACACACACATATATATAATGCATAGAGTTTTGACTATGAGAAACAGTTTAAAATATTTGGTCTAATAAGTCTCTGCCCTAGATAAACATATATGATAATCTAGATAGAGATTTGACTAATGAAATGATATCAATGGTCCGCCTCTAAAAGCTGAGGAGATAAAAATTATTTGTGCCCACCAAGTAAGGATTCCCCTGTCTCTATTTCTTTCTAAAACCATTTTTAGTTCTCATATTTAGCGTCTAGCTTTCATCCCATTGATGAAGAGATAAGAATTTGTTTTTTTTTATGTGAAATCCATGAATCCTTTTGCTCTTATGGTTTTAATTGTAACGACCCAAATTCACTAGGTCCGGATCATTAAATGAGTCCTTACCCGACCCAAAATTATCCAAGGGTAATATGGACCAAATTTGTAACAACCCAAATCCATTGGGTCCGGATCATTAAATGGGTCCTTACCCGACCCAAAATTATCCAAGGGTAATATGGTCCTTTTACGTTAAATTTGTATATTAAACTCCAATAAGGACAAGCTGGTCATTTATCACAATTCTAATGGTATGAGATTCAAAGGGCAAAATAGTCATTTACTTGAATCACATAATAAATAAGATAAAGTCCGCAGCAATATAGTCTTTCCCATGGCTAAAATATAACCTTATAATGTGTAAGAATACACTTGAGTGAGTGGTCAAGGGCAACACAGGAACCGGTCAATGTATGGGGAGTCACACGTTAACTGGTTTGGGTCACGTACAGTGACATTGCCCACTGCCAAGATACCAGTCGACGAGTGGGAGGCTACGCGTCGACTGGTTCAGGTCATGTACAGTGAAATAACTATTGCCAAGATACCGGTCGACGTGTGGGAATTTCACGTCGACTGGTTCAAGTCATCCGGTCGACGTGTGGGAATTTTACGTCGACCGGTTCTAGGTTATCCAAACTCGAAATTTTTCACTATCCGAGATACATCAACATTGATAACCAATCACCCACGCCACTACGCTCACGTACACATTTAAATATATTTTAACATCTAATACATTAACAACAATATTGCTAACATAATTTACAACACGTTACATAAAATACACTAAATGATTTAGTGTAAATAAGCCATGTACAGAATGAAACTAAATACTTCACATGCTGCAAAATGATACACGTTGGGTCAACACTTTACAAAATGAGGCCTAATACAAAAGGCAGCAAAAAGATACATTCTTCTAATCCAAACTAAGACTGTGGTGGATTGTCGCCCGCCACTTCTTTTCCTGAACGTGAAAATGTTAAAATAATGGGGTGAGCTAAACGCTCAGTAGGAAGTGTCTAAAACACACTTCTTATAACCCCGTGAATCCACGTAAGGAATAGGTAAAAGAAAACGGGATCATAGCATAGGGGTACATGGCAATAACTACAGCAACAAGTAAATAACAATTGTCACCCAAACACATACACACCATATATTCTAATGAAGTGCAATGTCATGCAATGTCACTCCCCATATTCGAAACATTTCCGTTTCAACTTTCAAACCGTTAGTGTAATCCGACCCAAGGCACCTCCAAGGCGTCACGAAAGAAGGATTGGTTAATCATCCACGACCACAAGGCACCTTCAAAGCGTCGCATTCGGTCTGGTTAGCTCAACCATACTCCCCTCTAGACTACACTAACACCACTGATCACTAGACGCCTCCTAAGTGTTCGGGTTTTCGTAAACACTTTTAGAAAACTTTTTCCCAAAAACAATTTTACTTGTTTTAAAGACATTTTTGTTCCCTTTTTCTATCCCAATGAATGCATGAAATATTTCATACTTCAATTCATCAATTCCATCATAAAATTCTCACACATGCTATATAAAGTAAATTTCTAAACTACATAACTAAAGTTCTCATATAATATCAACTTTACATAACAAGCATATAAGACATGAATTCAACTTCATGTAAGCATGTTTAAATACTATAGAACAACTAACAATTTGTCACATCTATTCCACACTTTTATTTAAGCAATTTTTTGACAAAAAATACTAATTGAACATGCTAGACATCAATTCAAGTTATAAAACTCACAAAAGTACAAGAAATCACGCATTAGAACACCCCTACCTCAATGGAGATGAAAACCCCCAAAACTCCAAATCAAAGCCCTAATTTTCCAAATTGCAAGCTTAGCCAAACAAGAAATTGTTTACATCAACGTGAAGGTCTCGCCGAGCTCTTCAAATTGCCGCAAACGACTTCCAAAAATTCCAAGTAGTGAAGGATGAATCAAGTTCTAAAGTTTTGATTCAAAAAGAAAAAGAAAATGCAAAGTAAAGTAAAGGGGGTGAGAGAGAGAACCAGCGGGGAGAGAGAAAGGAAAGCAAAAAAAATGAGGCCTAAATGCCTCTTGTTTCAATCTTTAACATGATATGTGGGCCCCACCAAAAATTAAATTTATTTTTCCTTTTATTTTTAGTCTCATTATACACTATATATATATACTTATACACATTAATTCATAATCACTTAAAACACATTAAATAAAATAAATATGATGCAAACGAATCCAACCAAGATCCCCGGATGAAATAATTCTGGTAGCGGGTCCCATACAGAACCGTCCGACCCAAAAAACGAAAAAAAATGCAAAAATGGCAACCTTAGCATTTCAAAGAGTCCTAGACTCAATGAAATGTCCCAACCAACTCTCGGACACAACCGGTACACCCCACAGTGTTCGGCACGCAAAACGAGAAAAGACAAAATGCCCTTGCATGGACGAAAAATTTCAGAATTTGGAAAATGACGAAAATTGGACACGTTACAATCTACCCTCCTTAAAGAGATTTCGTCCTTGAAATCTACCCTCCTTAAAAAAGGAGGCCCACAGCCACACCTTACCCCGAGAAAACCCCAAGACCATGAACCTACCAACATTGTTGCCTTTGACGCCGGACGTGACCAGGCAATCACATACTACTGCCACTAAAACCCAATACGGGTACTCATCTCTTATGTTCCTCATAACATAAGATCAGCTAGATTTTACGCCTGACTCAGGACGAACATCGGCCTACTCCACACAGCCATGAAAGGCTCAAAAGCCCCAAAAGAAAAACTGCCACAAGACCTCGGAACATGACAACATCCCACCTCTACTCATCCTTCAAAGGACACACTAAACCTCAAACAAGGAATTCTATCCATCCTTTAATCAATCCCAACTCTAATCTACACATCCCTGACAGACTAAACACTTGCTATCTAAGACGTAATTACACCACCTTATAACCGTATCAACGACTACAATTCGCACAATACGACAATCATTACACTCAACAACTTCAAGATGATTGAACAATGAGTCTCCCAATGATCACCTAAACATAAATCACCAAATTAATAAAGTGTACCATCCTGTATCCAATACACAGATCCTCAAAACAAGATCTTTAATAATTAAATAGATTGGATACTTGGTCTCACCTAACATACCTCGTTACCCGAGATAACTTCCTAAATCCACACCGACACAATGTTCAGTACCATACGTTCACTATCCATGACAAATCGAAACAATCATTGACCTTTGACCCAACATCGTGCGGAAGAAGGATTGATTCAGAAGAAATGGTTGGCCAAGCCATTCTCATCATCGATCCGGTCTCAACACAAACGTCGTTCCAGTCCTCAGATCCAAACCTCAAACACAATCTCACACAGCCCACAAAATAACTACGAGATCTACTCTCTAATCAATCCGTTGCTCTGCATAACCTCAACAACAATACAGTCACATACCAGCTTTAAAATCCAATCATACCCCACTCACACAACCTATAACAAGCTAAAAGCAATACGACACCAAGTACCATAATCATCGACCAGCATATAAGATATCCTATCCCTTCATAACACCCATACTAGGCAAACAACTCTCCCTAAGATCATTCGATTCAATTCTTACCTCACCAAAACACACGATATGATCGTTTTATACCTGAAACTTCAAAACCAAAGTCAATCATTTCTATATTCCTTAATAGATTCACACATTCACTTTCTCAAATCACAAAATTCTAAAGCAACATCGACACTTATCCTCAAGACATTGCTCTAATTAAACGTCTATAAAAACATCCGAGTACATGACTTACATTCCATCACTTAATCATCCTTAGACTGTGATTCACGACACATTGCCTAGCCATCACTGCTAGTACCAAACATAAAAAACACAACCCCTATTCGGCAACCTATGCTTCACATCCTACCAGTCAAAACCACTCTTAAAACAAACACTACAAAAACCAAAGGCTCCACCTTCCTCCATGGGAGTGAGTCGACCTATTCGTCCATAACTTCTACCAACAAACTTTAACAGCGCAACAAATCACACACGAGTCCGTCTATCCACAGACGCACGCAACTCCGACATGGAGGACAAGACATACGACAAACGACATCCTTGCCAAGACTAGAACAAACAGAAAAGGGTAACGAACCCCGCTCTCACCAGAAACTAACAACTCCTACCTGAATACACCTGACACCCTATCACACTCTGCT